TCTCCCTCCTGCCGCCCGATGTCCGCCCGGCTTCCTTGCTCCTGAGGCCCAACCTCCTCCATTCCTTTACTTCTTCCTCCCTTCGCCTGATGTCCTCCTCCCTCCCTCCACCCGATGTCCGCCTCCCTTCCTCCTCCCTCCCTCCCCCGATCTCCTTCTTTCTCTTTCTCCGCCTGACCTCCTCCTCCCTTCCTTGGCTTTACCTCCTCACCCCATCTTTCCAACCTCCTCCTGTCTTCGCTCCCTCGACCCGATCTCTGCCTGACCTCTTCCTCCCTTCCTCTGCTGATCTCCTGACACCCCCCCACACTACATCCTCCATTCGTTCGCTTGACCACCTCCCACCTTCCTCCATACTTTCTCCTTTCACCCAACCTCTCCCCTTCCTCCTTTCTGCGTACTTATTTCCACTACCTGATCTCCCTCCCTTCTTCATCCCTCCATCCGACTTCCTCCCTCGTTTCCCATTTCTGCATCTTCCTCTCCCTACCCGACCTCCTCCCTCTCATGTGTGCGTCGCGTGCTCACAAGAGAGAGAGAGAGCGAGAGAGAGAGAGAGAGAGAGAGAGAGAGAGAGAGAGAGAGAGAGAGAGAGAGAGAGAGAGAGAGAGAGAGAGAGAGAGAGAGAGAGAGTTTTCTTTTTTTCTAGGCTTCAGGCCTTTACTCAATCCCAATTTCTTTTTCTTTCTTTGTTTGAATTTTCGTCTTCGACTTTTTTTTGGATTCTTCATCTGCATGATCTGCTCCAGGATTCTTTCTTTTTCCTTTTGCGCATGCCAGCTGCCGACTGTGTGGTGAGCCGTGGATACTGCAGCAGCCCGTGCTTGGCGGTGTACAGTGGGCTCAGAGCTGGTGCAAACAAAAGACAACCAGAAACAATGTAAAACAAATGAATGTTTATACTGGGGATAGTGCCCTGGTCAATGCATTTGCCACACAGCACATTGTGTGCAGAGCAAATTTGTGTGCTTGATTTTCCACAATCAAGCTCCAAGGTATCCGTTTTTTCAGAACCAGTCAGAAGCAGCCTTAGGTCTGGAATTTCAGACCCCCCAAACAGCCTTGTAGGAAAGGGGGGCAATTTTTGGCTACCTATCGTTAGCGTGTTCCATTACCAGGAAAGGTGCAGAGGAAAACACACAGCATAATCGAGGAGCCTCCCGACACAGCATTGCTTGATATGTAATGGTATGGTTTGAACACCTGACTAGGTTACCTATGACTTGCAAAAGTCCGTACACGGTTTGTTCAGCAGCTTGGGAAGACTTAGGGCTTTACGTTAGATCTGTCAATCGTCGATGCACGGTCGAGGAAGTAGGTCTGTGGATGATGCTGAGAGACCTTCACAGAAAGAATGCCTGCGAACTGTACATGGGATCCTGGCCCCAGTTGCAAGCTGATGTGATTCCCCCCATCTATTGATGGAGCCTCTGCAGCTAGTGGATAGACAGCTCGATAAACAGAAATCAGATTCTGAAACATAGACCTTGGCATACTCCTTTGTGGCCAGATCCTGAAAGCCAGGCCCCACTCTCGTAAATAGGTCTTCAAACCTGATGACTGATATCTGGAGTTGATTTCGCCATGTTAGTGTGACTGCTAGATTTCCGACAACGATCTAGTAGGTGTCCTGCGGGGCCTGATCTCGTGTTCAAGGCGCCACAGGGGGAATGCAGGAAACTGGTCATACAGCTGGCCAGGAGCATCTGGTGGAAGCGTTGGACCATTTGGAATGTTCAGTGTGAAATGAAAGAGGGGTCATAGTACCTTGGAAAGTGAATCAGCAGATGGAAAGAACCAAATTGACAAAACAAAGCCCACCTGTTGCGCATTTCATAAGTGAATCAATCCTTCGACCCAAAAAGTCAACTAAGACAATGTGCCCTTGCTTTTTTTTCCCATTGTGGCTTTAATCTTCTCGAGTACAAAACGAATGCTGGTCTGGGTACTGCCTCTACTTTTTTGGGGAGTTCAAGTGCCCACTTCATTTTCCAGAATTTAATATCTTAGCATGGGCATAGAGCCACTGCGGGTGGGCCCTAAGCTGTCAATACTTTTCCGAATAATTGTGATATGGCCCACTACTTATGACTGTGCACTGTGAATCAGTAGCAAGTTCCTGACGTCATGGATGCGTATGGGGCACCTAGTTCAGCCAGAGAAGTTCTGGCATAGTAAAAGCAAACTGTTTACCACGGTTGTCCTGCCACGTCATGGAGCCTCTTTTTGCCGTGGCGGATTGGCACTTCACGGTAAGCTTTGATGAAATGCCAGCGGCTCATTTTTTTCTTCTCTGGCTGGTGCCGCCAGCCATTTTGGTCCCGTACCCCCAAGCCCCTGAAATTCTCGAATTGGCTGGATTCCGATTCTCGAGTTTGCTTGGGTGGCGGTTTAAGCAATTGGAGGGCAAAGTCAAGGAAAAAGTGAGTAAAACTACTGTGGTTCTCGAGTTCAGAAGAGAAAGCCACTTTTTCTCCCTGCTTTGTACGCCGGTGTTCTATATGCTCACAACCTCGTAGGAACTTAGATGCATGAAAGAGTGGATGTCTTCTGAGATGTGGTGGTATGTCGATCACATAGGTCACATAGGATGGTCCATTCTGATCTGCAGGTACTTTGAAAACTTCCTGCACAAAGAAGGGACTGCAACGACTGGATAATGTTTGAGATGCATGATATACTCCAACCAGGTACAGCGTCGAGCGAACTACAGTGCAACAGCAGGGCCCAGGTGGCAGTCAGAAGGTTAAAGTGGTGGAGAACGAGGAGTTCACCATACACGAGCCGACAATGGCCATCCAAGAGTTGGACCCAGCGGAATGGACCTGGAAACTCCCCGGCAGAAGCCGTCCAGTATCACAAAGGTTCAACCTCCTCCGATATACCGTCAGACTGGGCTGTAAGCTTAAAAGACTGACGATGGCCACGGTAGATATAATGAAGCGGAGGTGGAAGAAGCACCTCGACCTGGACCTCTGTGTCCTGTCCAACGTCCCTTGGGGCGCCCAGCTAGCAAGCAGAAAAACAAGGGTGAGGAGTACGTGATAGCTAATCCTATACCTGGCGCTGCTGATGAGCCAATGGCTGAATCGGCGCTGGCACCCACTACACAGAAGCGTGCTCAGTGGCATTTGCGCTATCTGTGACCTGGGGCGAGTGGAGCATAAGTGGAATGGGCCTGGAAACTTGCGGGCAGAAGCGGCGCAGTCTCGCAAAGGTTAACCTCCCCCAATATACCGCCAGACTGGGCTATAAGCTTAGACGACGGATGGTGGCCACGGGAGATAATAATGAAACAGAGGTCGAAGAAGCACCTGGACCTGGACCTGGGCCTGGACCTGGACCTGGACCTCTCTGTCCCGTCCAACGTCTCTCAAGGCGCCCCTAGCAATCAGGAACACAAGGGTGAGGAGTATGTGATGGCTAATCGCATACCTGGTGCTGCTGGTGAGCCAATGGCTGAATCGATGCCGGCACCCACCACACAGAAGCGTGTTCAGCGGCATTTGCGCCATCTGTGACCTGGGGCAAGTGGAGGATGTAGTTCACTGCCTGCTCCTCTGTACGAAGGCGAAACAGGACCGGGGCACTGTGGTGAAAAGTGACTGACAGGTCCTTCCCAACACACCAAAGCACGCTGCTGACAGGCTTCCTGCTACCCAAGAACCTGGACAGTTATCAGGGAAAACTCCTCCGGAGACTCAGGCCGCTCACATTATCGGCAATATGGATGCGAAGATGTCAGGAAACGATCGTTAGAAGACAATGCTGAGAAGCACAAACCTGGTACGGCCTCCTCCTACTGCTGGAAACAGAATATGAAACGGACTGGGGCAGAAGTAGGAGACAGATGCGCGGCAAGCCGGACAAGGCACATGAGATCCGACGCAAATTCAGCAGTAAGGTCTTGGGAGCTGGCAGAATAGGCTTGTTGAGAGATGGTCACATTTCTGCGAGGCACAAGGCCTCGGCAAGCCCTACTGGGCTTGTTTATCAGCAAGTCAGCCGCCCTACGTGAAGGCAGGGCCGACCTAGGCCTATTTTGGACTACCACGCAACTGGGGAAAATTCAGGCAGTTGCGCAGTGCCAGTTGGTTGAAAGCGCCCGGGCCCAGGCTGCCTTTATCAAATGTAACTGAGGCAGGCCCTGGGCCAGATACGCAGCATGGACCGAACACAGGCTGCGGACAGTTGGGCACGGGTAACCACCACAGGCCCCGGGTTTGAGGCTCTGCCTCACGGGGCCTACAGGAAGCTTCTGGGCTGGGGCCCAGTGCAGCCTAGCCGCACGCAGCAGGCAGGCCACTTCCGTTTAGGAAAGAGCCTGCCTCCAGATTGGGTATTCGGGCACTGGCTGCATGCTGGCCAGGCCCACGCACTCACGGGTGAGCAGGGAGAGCAGGCAGCCATAGCCGAGCTGCGCTGCAGTGTGCTGGATGGGGCGCATGGTAGTCCTTGGGTGCATGTGGCATCTGTGAGTGGGGGATCGAGGTTGCGAGTGATACGAGAGACATAGCTGGTGCTTGAGGCGAATGGCATTGGCCGAGATCTGCTCGTACTTTGGGGAGCTGTTGACGTCACCAGCGACATTGTGGATAGGCTAGATAGGATTTGCCATTTGTAGTCTGGGCACCGAGCACCAGATAGGATGTCCACATTGGTTCTCTGTTGACGATGAAGAGACTATTCGAACATTGTCACTTATGAGCTTTTGCTGTGCTCTTATTTGGTGGGACTCGTGTCGCAATTCTGCTTTTGGTTCGAGGTCACGACTATCTGGTCTCATGTGTATGATGTTGCTTGGTTTCTGAAGTTCGCTATCGCTCATTTTCCTTGCATTTCCTTCACATGGAGGATGAACCGAGCTGGGGTACATCAGGCTCGGTACACCGAGTGGGTCCTCAGTATGCCTGCCACCTTGAGCCTCAGCCTGGGATGGAGTTAGGTACGAGAGGGCAGAGGACCAAGCAGGAGTTGTGCCTGTTTCAAAGATGTTCCAGGTACAAGGGATTTAGGGATCGGCAACGAGAAAGGAAATGACCGATCCGCAGGGGTGGAGCAGAGGTAAATCCTCCTGCCTGCAAGGAGCAATCAATTCCACAGTCTCAGGGTTCTTCAACCATAATGGAAGGAAGCGTTGTGTGAATTAATGATGCAAGAGACGCTGGGCCCGTTTCCCAGCATTTACAGCAAAAATTTTGCTCGTTAAACCGCCACTACCTTTCACAGGGTTGAGAAAAGTGGGAATATAAGTTATATCGCATTCTTCAGGGACCGGGCCCGACGGCGGCCATAGTTGATAAAGGTCATCTGCAGCCGCCGTTTTGTTTCAGCCTCTGAAACGAGTGGGGACCCTCCCCGTGGCCAGTGTATGCGAAAGGTAGTGGTCCTTAAAAAAAAAAAAAAAAAAAGGCAACAACTGGGAATTCGTTAGACTCTATCCAATTGGTCCTTAAAAAAAAAGGTCTCGGATTCAAGGTGAATTCGTTAGACTTTACCCAAGCAAGGTCGCCTTTCTGAAACTAAGAAGGTATTCTGTGTTTGCTTGTTTTCTCTTCGATCCTCTATCATTTATGTTTGAGCTTCTTTAATGGTCTCCTTAACTTTCTGGCTATTTCACTTATAGAGAACTGCAAATTCTCTAATTCCAAGTGGGAATCTTTGAACCTGATCCCGCTTCAGGGGATCTATAGGTCTTCTGGTTTGAGACCTGAACCTCTGTTAAGTGCGCCCTGTCGTAGTATGGACTGAGTTGTTGTATGCACTGGCTATCTTCGGTAGATTCTCATCCCGGTCGTCTGAGAAGGTTTGATGTACATTTGTAGCAGTTGTTGGCAAAGTTTGTTTATCTGCATAGTTCAGCCACTGGTCTTTTTTTCTCCCCTCTTTTTTAAAAAGGGCGACAGTCTTGGGATATCATGTTGATCTGACCGCCCCGTCGTTCATCTGGATTCGAACTTTGGTCTGTATTTCAACTGTTCATGGGCACACCAACTGAGCTAGGCTCGTTGGTCAACCATTGGTCTTAGGATGCCTCCTTGACGATATGGTTAGCTGAGTTCCATAGACTACCATCAATTTGTGCCAATGTTGTCCTATCAATTGGACATCTTTATTTCAGACAATTGTGTTTGGAAAAACCCTTTCGAAGATGCAATTCATCCGGAATTTCTTAATGCTTGTTTTGTTTTGGCTTCAGCTGGTCATGGAATGAACATGGCATATCTGGAGAATCTATCGATTATAGTCATAACTTGATGGTTGTCGTTCCTTCTTCTGGTCAAACCCTGAAGCCTCTAGAGATAAGACTTGGGTCCTTCTGGAATAGGAAATGGTGTGAGCTATCCCAAAGGGTTCTGATGGAATGGCTTGTTCCTTTTGGATGGAGCACCAAACTACAGAGTTCGGGGTTGAGAGTTCAAGTCTGGCCAAGCATGGGCGACGAAACGTCGTTGTAATTAAATTAATACGCGCAGCCAACTTGGCAAACAAGACACTCTTACAGATGTGATCACATCTTGTTGATGTCGAGCCACACAAACTGTTGCACAACATATGAATACGTTTTACACCAACTGAAGTGACCCTTTGTATCATGGCATTCCGCTCGGATTAGATTCTTAATAATCTCTTCATTAGAATTACGCCAACTGAAGTTCTTTCAAGTCCTTTGCCAGTGTGAAATAGTATGCCTCTGATCATTTGATATTTGGGGAAGTGTTCAGGGTTTGTTTGTACCGTCTGAATGATTTATGTCCGAAATTTGGTCTCTAGCTGGGCTACCAGCTGGGCCGTCTGGGTCGGGTCACCTTTGGGCGGCCCGGTTGGGCAAGTGCGAAGAAGACCGCTGCAAGGGAAAAAAAAGAATCCAAAAAACCCGGAAAAAAAAAAACTGTGTTATGCAGAAAAATAAATTGAACAACTTTTGCCTCAAGGTCATGTCGAAACTCAAAGTAAAAGAAAAAAAAAAAGCATTTTAGAGAATTTTTAGTGTTTTGTATTTTCTTTTGGCCTGGCCGGGCAAGTGGTCCCAAGCCACTCTGATAGCCCAGGTCTCTATAATTAGATTGTATTCATTCTTCCTCAATACTCTTAAAGCAAGGAGCTGGTCTGTGGTCCCACGCGAGACCCCGATTCCTGTGTTGGGAATGCGCCAGGCCCGAACCACTGGGCCCACCAGACAGGCCGAATCACGCAAAACCCCGACTCCTGTGGCGTCGGGAGGAGGAGCGGGGGAATGGGAAGGGGCGGAGGAGCACAGGAGGAGTGGGAGGCGCGGGAGAAGGAGAGTGGGGAGGAGTGGGAGGAGGAGCGGCAGGGGGAACGGGGAGGGGGTTAGGAGCAGGAGAAGAAGCGCGAGGGGAAATGGGAAGGGGCAGAGGAGGCGCGGGAGGACGAGCGGGAGAAGGAGGGAGGAGCAAGAGGAGGAGCGGGAGGCAAAATGGGGAGGGTTTAACAAACGTGCGACAGGCGGGTAGGGAAAGCGGAAGGAGGCAAGAGAGGAAAGGGGTGGGGGGGAGAGAGGGGGACGGGGACCCATTCTCTCTGTCTCTCTCTCTCT